CAAGAATCCTCAAACTCTGTCTCAGTAAATCAATCTCTCTTTCCTTCTCATACTTTTGTCTATCCATCAAACCTATTTTCTCCTTTAATTTCTCTATTGTATCTTCCTTAACTCTAACTTCATCTCTCAATACTTCAACTGTCTTAATTTCTTCTTCTTCTTCCTCAAGTTTCCTTTGCATTATTGCCTCTCCTATAGAAGCCCAATTCAAAGATCGATACTTAAGTTATATCAAAAATCAAAAACTGAAATTTGAGTTGAGTTTTTTACCAGAGGAAGAAGTTGTGTGGATGATGAGATGATCAAGCTCGTTCTTGATAGCTAAATAGAGTTGTTTCCATTTCTCCACGGCTTCATCTCTCACTGCTCTCTCTACACACATCTCCTCGACCACCCATTTCCAATACTCTCTCTCCTCTGTTGTCGTGGTTGTCTTTGCTTCCTCTCTCTCTTCCACTTTCTTCCTTAGCCTCTTCACTTCCTCTCTAAGTTTCTTCCTCTCTTTCCTCCACTCTCTCTCCGCCTCTCTAAGTTGATCAAACATTACTTTCTCTCTCTCATCCGTCTCTCTTCTTTTGTGTCTTCTTCCATTGCTTTGTTCATTTGATGTCTCCTTGACACTTCTCATACTTTTTCTCTCTTGCTTGCTTGTGCAACCACCCATGTCTCTAATATTCTGGATGTTTCTTCTTAGGACATGAACAAGAATGTTAAAGGAGTCTCTCTCTCTATATGGTATTTGTGTTCTTGTGTGATGTAGAGAGGCTACACTTCATTCAATGAAGAGTTAGAGGAGTCATAATTGTGAGTGAAGAAGCTCCACAAGTACTACTCTACCATTTATATATACATGGTCTCTAAAAAAAAGCATCTCACAACAGTAATTTCTCTAGCTTTCTTTTCACTCACATGTGTAATAACAAAAAGTAAAATTAAAAATTTGGTGGAATGGAATAAATTAAGAGGAGAGTGATGGGAGATGTCAGAAAGGAAGGTGGAAATTGGTGTTAGAAGATTAGGTTTAAGGACATGGAAAACTACAAGACTATATTCTCATCCAATTTACCAATTAATGTTGTGGGCTTTCTTTGTTCTTTCTTTCACATGGTCCATCTTCTACTATTTGGACCCATCCTTCTCTCTCTATAACTCTATAATCTATACTCTATAAGTCTTACTTTCATATTAAATCAGTTTCCATAGTCACAGACTCACAGGTCTACAAAAAGAGACCATTTTTGTTGGTGTAGATCTCACATTAGGAGGTGAATAGACACACCCTGTTTTTGTGTGGCTCAAGGGTCAACTTAATCATATAGAGGAAGAGACAAAAATGAAGACTGTGTCTAATCACAACCTTACTCATGTGAATAGTTTATGAGGATATTATGTTTTACAACCACATAATCAATTTAAACGATTAGGTTGGTCCCATGTTTTTTGTTTGTGAGAATGAGAATTTAGTTTATGTGTTTGGCAGGTTTAAGCAGTCCCTTCACGTGAGTTTCCCCTATTAATCCGGCTTTCTGTCTTTAATTATTCCATAATAATATCTCATCTTTTCCATTTTTAAGAGAATGATTAATCATATTTTGTTGTTTTGTCTCACTAATTTAGTCGTTCACTCCTTCTATTGGTGAAAACAATGATTAAGGACGTTAGAACATGATAATAGCTTGCTAAATCTTGGGACTTGGATTATCTTAATTTTGCTTTTAGTGGCACTGTAAAAATGAAAGAGATTAAGGTGTTTATTTTGTATCTTCGTCGGCAAGTTTTAAGATTGTGAGCAGTAAATACCCTGACCGCTGTACTAAAACTATATAAGACAATTTTTGGTAGCAATTTTGTTATTTTAACATTGGATTTTTTTATTTCGTCAACTAATTCCAAAAGTAGGAAAGAGCTTAACTTGCAAAGTATTTCGAAAAATAATTAAGCTTTTTATCATCTCTTTAATTTGATATATGCCAACCCCTAATTAGTACTCATATATGAGAATTATAAAAATTTATGTTGTAGCATAAGTTTGTAATTTTGGTATGTGTGTGTGTAAAACGTTAGAATTTTTCTTTTGGTTTGTAATAAAATA